TGTCTCATAACACGCGCATTGCATTGAACATACAACCAACAGACTCTATCCTATGCAAAGCCGATCGGCCGATAATCAACCCCATATATATATATATATATTCAAAAGATAAGTTATCATAGAAGCGCGCGCATAACCACCCATAGACCTTCTCTTTCGAACGCGCGCCGCCGCGCCGCGCACATTTACGTTTATAATGTTATATGCCAACAGCACCTAATACCCAGGCAACGCACAGGGATAACGAAGGAATAGACGCGACAGGACGTCCGATGAAGAAAAGACAAGCGCGCAGCTTGCGCGACCGCCGTATTTTCTTATGACTCTATATTATTTCATGCGCTTACTCAGAATTTCCTTACTTCATTAGGCTGGCGAACTGAATCAGACATGGAAATGGAATTGGATTGGAATCGGACCGGATGCGACAGGATACTAATATTAAGACGCACCAGGCGCCGCTCTGCGGGGAGACTCTATAGTACAGGTGCGCTGGCGCCAACAGGGACTCTATACTAAGAAGAAAACATTCTAGCTATCACTCCTTCTTCTCCTCTAGCATTTCCACAATCTCCTTCTCCCAAGCACCCCAATCGCGCCCCATGCTGTAAATGCGATTGCTCATCGCCAATACCTCCGCCTCCTGCATACGGCTATGCTGCCGCATGTCAACAACTACCCCCTTCCACTTCGCCACCTCGGCCTCCAGCTCAGCGTTTCGAATGCGCAGTTGAGCGGCCTCGATACGAGACTCGTCCAACTGCGCCGCCAAGTCAAGGCGAGGGCGCTTAGGCGCCGGCGCAGGACGGGAAGCGAGAGGACGCTTCGCACGTTGAACGACAATCGTCTTGCCGCCAACGGCGGCATCCTCATCAACGGTCGACTCACCGACGATTTCCACGTCCGATGAACCAACATTAGGGACGGTATCGGTAACCGAACCCGGCGCCGGCCCAGCAACAGGAGGAGGCGTTTTGCCTTAGGGGCAGGCGCAGGAACAGGCGTCTTCGCCTTAGGCGCAGCGGTCGACGCGGCCACCTTGGGTTTCGGCGCAGCCGGCGTGCGCTCCTTTGCCTTGTCGCCAACTGAAAGAAGATAGTTAGTAAAAAGATGAAAGAAGGAAAAGAGGAAACATACCAAAGGAACAGCCCTTCTTGGCCTTGGTGCATCCCTTGCAGCGCAGGTTGCCATCGACCAGCACGCAAGGGATCTCAGCAGTCGCGCATCGCGCGCACGGGACGTCCGGATGCGTAATCACCAGAGTCGTGGTAATACGACCGCCGAGACGCTAGTAAGAACAAGTTAGCAAAAAAAAAAGGAGACATAAAAGAAAGAAACTTACCGGGCGACTCATGTCAGTCACCTCCGATGAGGCCGCCTTCTCAGCCGTCGGCGCAGATTCCAGCGCCTTCTCTTTCTCCAAACGCACCTGACGCGCCGTCGGCGCGGACTCCACAGCCTTCTCCTTCCAAGCCTTAACGGTCTTGTAAAGGGCCTTAGCGGCGACCTTGCCAGCGGCAAGATCGACCGCTTCCGCATCGCTGAGGGACAGATGTACCTCAGCGGCGCGCGCCTGGTCAAACAGCGAACTCATGTCGCTCTAAGAAAAGTTATATTAGTGATCAGTAAGCGACACATCAATCATACAAACTCACTATAGTCCGTTCCCAAGCGCGGAGCCAAGTCTCCTGATCTTCGAGGAGCTCTGGTTTCGCAGGAGGACTGGTCTTCACCGAGACACGCATCATGCCTAGTGTCACCGCCCAAGACCGACGGATCCAGTCGGCAACGGTTTCCTGCGGCTCCTTCGGAGTCGCGTCGTCGAGGGTGGCGTCGTCAACGGACGCGTTACCTTCATCTTGAGGGCGCTCCTCAGGTTCGGGTGAAGGGGAGGGAGACGCAGTAAGCATAGCAGGGTTAAAAGGAATGGAGGACATGATGGTATAGCGATGAAGAGATTATCGCGAAGACGCGATGGATAATTGAATTGAAGAAGAGAAGCGCGACGCGAGGCCGGTTCTTTTATGCCCGAAACGAACCACATTATGTCAGCACAATAGCGCTCGCAGTCCACAAGCTCGCAAAACGCTGGTGGACCGTTCCACATACGCTTTCAACGCGTCCTACCCACGGTCACGTGACTTTCCTCGTCGAAATTTTACCAAGTCTCTCCGCCCCTATATACACTGACTGGGGACAGTCAGAAGCTAAGTTCCTATGAGATGTAGAGACTAATATCTCTGTGGCCTTGCAGGGGTCTAAAATCCCATTCTTACTACCACTTCCTCACATAGCGCGACTCATACCTCACGCAGCGCGCCCTCGCGCTTTGTCGGCCGCTCGCAAGCGCCAGCGCTCCGGTCGCTTCTTAGTCGCGCATCGGCGCGCACATCCTTGGTTCCGTCGCACGTCCTCCGTCCATCCATTCCATGTCCGTTCGGTTCGTCGGTGCGTATTCCGATTCTATTTTCATTGATTTAACATATCTCCGGCGCTTATGGTCATATTTCGTATGTTTCCGTTATGAACCCTTATTACATATTATCTCGCGTCCGCTTCGCTTCTCGGCTCGCTTTAGCGCTTGACAGCGCTTATCATTACTTAGTATATATAGACGTACATAAACTGTGTAAGGGTATCTTTTCCTGCCCACACGTCATTGGACTATAAGTCTAAAGTTATCCTCTAAAAACTAGAAAGGGTATCAAAGTACAATACGAGCGCTGTCGCCGTACTCTACTAGAAACTCTGTCAAATTAGTATTCTGACTCATTAAGAGTCGCTGCGCTCTATCACCCCCGCGCGCATCGCTTCTGCTTAAAGCGCGCGCTTCCGTATAAGTCGCGCGCCGATATCTGTCGTCGGCCGCTATCGCTCATCGGCGCCTCACGTCGCTTTCGTTCGCTCGCGCTTCGCTCATTGTCGCGCGCCTAACCAGGCTTGACCAAGCGCCCGGTTCAGTGTTTCCCTCCGTTTATACACCTAGAGGAACCTTCTCAGTAGCAATCCCCTTGGGCCGACGTATATCTCGCTCACCGAGGACTACTTGAGTTATCTCACACCACCTATTTTCACCCACTTCCCATTCCTCTTCTACACCGCGCTATAGCACTGAGTGGGGACACTCAGAATGTAAGTCCCCAAGAGATGTAGAGACTCGCGCGTCTCAATGCCAGATATCCGGTCTTTACCCATACATTCCTATATGCGACAGCTCTAATCCTAAGGACCAGTCTCGCGCGCACTCGCGCGCTGTAGAGAATTATGCCTCTCATGGCGTGATATGGTGCTTTACACTAGGAAGTACATAGCACGAACTTGTAGCGTCACTCTGTGCACTACCCACAGCTATCTCTATATGACGCGCAGCTTTCCCGCGCAACGCGCGCCATGCGCGCACCATTCCCGCGCTTCACGATGTATACGCGCGCGCGCGTTCCCGCGCTTGCGCGCCCTATGGCGCCAGCCATCCAGAAGCATCCATCCACTGTCCACCAAGCTCCCTAGTGCGTATATTTCCATTTCCTTTATTAGCATAGTTCCACCTTTATTTTTATCATGCATTCTCACTCATATATATATTTACATACCTACTCGGTAGCGCTTCAGCTCCGCATGACCGCGCTTAGGCGCGCTATATAAGCGCCAGCAGTACATACTATTACTTACTTACTTTTCCTATCACTTACTACTTAGCAGAATATAGTAGAAATCTATTTGTCCACATCTTGCACTCTCTTCTCTTATCTTGCTTTATATCACTACTTAAGCTTAGTTTCTCATTTCCGCATACGCGCGCGCACTTTCCCGCGCTTCGCGCTAATACGCGCGCGCGTTCCCGCGCCTTTGTACCTTGCGCGCTCCTGCGCTTTCTCGCGCTTCGCTTAAGCGCACACTTCTAGATCCTTGCTGCACTCACTTCCCCTATAGGGTCGAACGCACTTGCTTCTCAAGTAACGCAGACTAGGCAGCGCGCGACCTTACAACTTTTACAGATACAGTCAGGAGCTTCTTTTGTTCCTCATTGTATTGTTGTTTCTACAGCGCGCCTTATCCATACTCGCGCACACTTAGGCGCACCTTACCTACGCATGCGCAATATGCGCGCTTCGCGCGCCTCCTCATAGGTCTTCGCGCTATCGTCCGTCCATCCGTCCCATGTCCTTACTGATTCGCTGGTGCGTTATTTCTATCTTATCCATTGAACTAATAAAATCTTTGGTCCGATGTCCGCGCTACTTATAGAAAGTTTATTTAAACTTAGTTATAATTAGAGTTGATATGGTTACTCGGTTCGGGAGCGCGCTCGGAAGCGCGCCATCTCCATTCTTAAATACAGAAGGGTTTCCTTTGGTTCTGGTACTTACTTTCCCCTTATCTTTGTGTACTGGAAAGTGTATAGATCACCTCCTCACTTGTTATAAGATCTGATTCTCCTGTCAATCATCCATCTGGGCATTCACTCCTCAATAGGACCTTTCCCTTAATGCTCAAGGCGCGCCTTCGCTTCGCGCGCGTGCATTCTCGAACCTCCTACTCACGCGCGCATCTCGCGCGCCTTTGCCTCGTGTACGCGCGCGTTATCTTCTCGCGCCTGTTAGCGCCCGCCTAGCTCATAGAGTTTCCCTCCACTTTATTTCGAGGAACTTCTCTCAGTGGTTGTCCCTTGGGTCGAGTCGTTGTCTCGTATCCCGGTCTTGCTGTTGAGCACCCTTTTGTTTTAAGTGTTTTCACGTCTAGTCAAGATTCCTCATCTACAACGGGAAGAGTGCGCACATGGCGCGCGTTGCGCGGGAAAGCTGCGCCTCATATAGAGATAGCTGTGGGTAGCACTCAGAGTGATGCTACAAGTTCGTGCTGTATACTCCCTAGTAAAGACTGCCATATCATGCAATGAGAGGCATGAGTCTCTACACCGCACCAATGACAATGACTACGACCCACAGATTTGTCGACATCTAGATCGAGATGAGAAGTTGCAACATTTTGCAATTGCCACAATGCTGAAGGGTCATCATGCATATCATGATCCCAATGACAGACCCAGAGAAGTCCCTGAGGACAAGGATGAGGATGAGGAGGATGAGGACAAGCAGGAGGAGGAGGCAATCGATCCTGACAAGCAGGAACCTGATGATCCACAGACTGCACTTCTAGAAAAAATGAATCACACGCGTGTCACCACAGACTACTTCAGTAAAGCAAGGCAGATCATAACTGCGAGGGATGGAGCTATTCCTCACCCTCCTCGAATGTTTATCGCTGGTGGTACTGCCATTCACCTCAACTACACTCCTTCTCGCACTGGAGTTGGTGTTGATGATGTTGCTACTGATTTCAATATACTGGATTTGCATGTAGTGCTTTCAGAATTTTTGCTATGTGACACAAGGGAGAGGAGCAGTTTATATGGTGGGGGGTCCAAGAAGAAGGCCGTTGATCGACCGTCCTCCCATCCTTCCATTTGACCGTTGTAGGGATTCATTTCTGGCTGGGCTTGTAGAGACTGTTTTTACCTTACCTTATGTTGGCACTTTTGTAGCTTACATAATCAAGCAATCTTTTCACCAGTTACCAGTATGAGTCAGAGTCCTCAGTAGTTTTTATGATATTTCCTCTCCTCTGAGCCTTAAGCCTAGTCCAGAAACCCTTTAGGGTCGAATAGCAGCTAGGTTCTGCAAGACCCAACACATTGTTCAGACTCACCATCTGAATTGTTGTACCTTCACTGTTGTAGAGAATCATGCCTCTCATGGCATGATATGGCAGTTTCCACTAGGGAGTATACAGCACAAACTCGCAGCACCACTCTGTGTACTGTCCACAGCTATTCCTATATGAGGCGCAGCTTTCCTGTGCAACGCGCTGTAGAGACTCGTGCATCTCATAGTGTGATATGGCGCTTTACACTAGGGAGTATACAGCACCAACTCGCAGCATCACTCTGTGTACCATCCACAGTGATTCCTATATGACGCGCAGCTTTCCCGCGCAACGCGCGCCATGCGCGCACCATTCCCGCGCTTCACGATGTATACGCGCGCGCGCGTTCCCGCGCTTGCGCGCCCTATGGCGCCAGCCATCCAGAAGCATCCATCCACTGTCCACCAAGCTCCCTAGTGCGTATATTTCCATTTCCTTTATTAGCATAGTTCCACCTTTATTTTTATCATGCATTCTCACTCATATATATATTTACATACCTACTCGGTAGCGCTTCGGCTCCGCTTGACCGCGCTTAGGCGCGCTATATAAGCGCCAGCAGTACATACTATTACTTACCTTACTTTTCCCTTGAACTTACTAGTTATCACCCACTATTTACTTAGCAGTACATAGTAGAAGTCTATTGGTCTACACTTTGCATCTATCTTTTCTTATATTGCTTTATATCATCACTTAAGCTTAGTCTCTTTTATTTCCGCTTACGCGCGCGCGCTTTCCCGCGCTTCGCGCTAATACGCGCGCGCGTTCCCGCGCCTTCGTACCTTGCGCGCACTTGCGCTTTCTCACGCTTCGCTGAAGCGCGTACCTCTAGATCTTCGCAGCACTCGCTTCCCCTAGGGTCGAACGCACTTGTCTCCTCAAGAATAGCAGACTAGGTAACGCGCGACCTCACAACATTTTATAGATACAGTTAGGAGCATCCTTGTTCCTCATTGTATTGTTGTTTCTACAGCGCGCGCGCTTTCCCGCGCTTGAGCGCCCTATGGCGCCAGCCATCCAGAAGCATCCATCCACTGTCCACCAAGCTCCCTAGTGCGTATATTTCCATTTCCTTTATTAGCATATTGTTCCCCCTTTATTTTTATCATGGATTCTCACTCATATATATCTTTACATACCTACTCGGTAGTGCTTCAGCTCCGCATGACCGCGCTTAGGCGCGCTATATAAGCGCCAGCAGTACATACTATTACTTACTTACTTTTCCTATCACTTACTACTTAGCAGAATATAGTAGAAATCTATTTGTCCACATCTTGCACTCTCTTCTCTTATCTTGCATTATATTATCACTTAAGTCTAGACTCTCTATCGTTTCCGTATACGCGCGTGCGCTTTCCCGCGCCTTGCGTGCACCTGCGCTTTCTCGTGCTGTAACGGGAAGGACTGCAAGGGGAACCAAGGCCAAACCTCTATAGCGGGAGGCTACAGCTCTATCTATCGAGGACAGACTACGACACACGTGAGGACTACCGACTACGAGCCAGGACTCCTGCCACTCCCGACCTGCCACACCAGAGCGCCCTGCTACAGTGCTTCACTTTGGCGCACACCTCTAGATCCTTGCTGCACTCACTTCCCCTTTAGGGTCGAACGCGCTTGTCATCTCAAGCATAGCAGATTAGGCAAACGCACGACCTTCAACATTTATAGATACAGTCAGGAGCATCATTTGTTCCTCTCAGTATTGTTGTTTCTACACCGTTGTAGAAACAACAATACAGAGAGGTGCAAACAAATGCTCCTAGCTGTATCTATAAATATTGTGAGGTCGTGCATTGCCTAGTCTGCTATACTTGAGGAGACAAGTGCGTTCGACCCTAAAGGGGAAGCAGGTGCAGCGAAGATATAGAGGTACGCGCCGAAGTGAAGCGCGAGAAAGCGCAGGTGTGCGCAAGGCGCGGGAACACACGCGGGTATTAGCGCGAAGCGCGGGAAAGCGCATGTGCGTATGCAGAAATGATAGATAGACTAGACTTAAGTGATAATATGATGCAAGAGATGTGAGAGTGCGAGATGTAAAGGAATAGAGTTCTATTGCAACTTTCTAGGTAGTAAGTACTAGGTAAAGTGAGAGGTGAAAGTAAAAGTAAAGTAAAGTGAAAGGTAGGAAAAGTATCTACTGCTGGTGCTTATATAGCGCACCTAAGCGCGGTCATGCGGAGCCGAAGCGCTACCGAGTAGGTATGTAAAGATATATATAAGTGAGAATCCATGATAAAAATAAAGACGGAACAATATGCAATGAGAGAAATAGAAATATACGCACTAGAGAACTTGGTGGACGGTGGATGGATGCATCTGGATGGCTGGTGCTATAGGGCGCTCAAGCGCGGGAACACGCGCGCGCATATACATCGTGAAGCACGGGAAGTGTGCGTGCATTGCATGGGAAAGCTGCGCCTCATATAGGAATAGCTGCGGATAGCACACTGAGTGATGCTACAAGTTCATGCTATGTACTCCCTAGTGAAAACTGTCATATCAGACCATGAGACACACGAGTCTCTACACCGTGTTCAACTATGGTACACTGTCTGCCTTCAGCAAACGTCTTTCCACAATTCTAGGGTCGCATTGCCAGCTCAAACCATACATGCATCTCCTCCTGGCTGTTAAGGTTGTACTCTCATAGGGTCGGATCCGAAGGACTTCGGCCTCAGCTCATATGCTGTGCCCCTTTCCCAAGTACTCTCCCTTATTTCAAAGTACTAACGATAACGTGTCCGAAGGTCCGGACGGGTCTCGTAGTATATCCGGATGTCTTCCAGATATCGGAAACGCGTATAAGGCTAATCCGGACGTATCTGAACTAGAAACTAACAGAGTAAAGACTACCCAAAGGTAGAGCCGAGGATATAGACTATCGGAATCTATCCAAAGTCTCAGAGGATGACAAGAGTAAGAAGGACTCAAGTCCAGAGGACAGAAAGAGGACAAAGTAAGATGATATTCGAACTGAGGTACTACAGGACATATACACGAGTTTATATACTATGAGGATAATGGAAGGATCAGTAAGCAAAGGTCCGAGGCTATGTATGAAGCATGTGCAAAGGTTATCAAACACGAGTCGGAAATGAAACATAGGTTAACGGATCAGTAAGCATACCGGTAATAAGTATAACCGAAACACCGGGAAGAGGAAATACCGAATAGGCTGTGTTTAATGTTATATGAACAGGAAATGAATTAGAAAGCTTATCGTAAATCGGATTGGAAGCGGATCTATGCATCGGACCGGATCAGATCTAAGGGTCCGAAGTCCGGAAGAGAAGCGTGAATATATGGGATATGACACTGGCCCTGGGTGGCCGAAAGGCCGAAAGGATGCTGTCCTTGTCAATGTCAAAGAAGGGTTTGTTTGGCCCAAGTCAGGTCTGACAGGTCAGAATTCTTTTTATTGATTTGAACACATATGAACTTTGATGCTTAAGGTCACATGATATGTGAATTGTGTCTCATCATGCGTCCAATTTGTCAAAGAGGTGCTCGCATCACTTGGAGAGATCAATATCTGTGTTATGTGTGGGGTCTGACCATTGGCTCGGTCAATCCTGCCACTCAAATGGATACTCTGAAATGTACTAAGTATGCTGATGGCACACCTGTTGGTAATATCATTCCCCTGCATCAACTTCGTTCATTTATCAATGTCATCCCTCGGCTAGGGGATGCAGCTGATGCTTGATTCACGAAGGCAACATCTATGTACTATTCCGAATCATTTCTTTTAAACAGGTACTTCGATCAAGACTTCTATTATGCCCTCTATTATGCTTCACGTCGGCAGTAGTGTATGTACATTGTTTTGGTTACATACTTCTTTGTGTACTTGTCTGGCTTTGTATCACATTGTCAAGTTTGTGAGCCTTGTTACCTTGTGTGTTTGTGTGGTTTGTAATATTGTATGGCTTTGTTATTGTTGTGGTACCTTGTCACCAAATTGTTACTTTGCTGATGTATGCCACACTGCCTATGCTGAACTACTTCTAATGCACTGATTCATGTAAATGTCCCCATTACAGGCTTCAGTTCTCCTTCTTCCTTACTTTTTCTTTCCTTTTCACACATCTTATCATCCACTTATTCTACTTTTGTTGACAATATCATACATTTAAAATATGCATTTTAAGCAGGCTCATAAAAATGAGTTGGAAAATAAGTTGGATAAGGACATGAAAAGCTCAGAATGAGTACAGAGGATCTACTTAAATAAGTTGGTTCCAACTTTTCAATGTTGGTTGGGCTGGGTGGGAAAAAAGGGCTATAAGTGGTCAAAAGGAAAACCCAGAATTTACTGATGCGTGCATGCTGGGTCAACTGTACAGCCACAATATGCAGCCATCATGTTTGCTTCAAGAACTATAAGTACGTATCTAAGCGTACGATATCTAAATCTCTATCTGATGATCGACTGACGACTCGTGGTATATCAGTAATGCAAGGGTGAGGTGTTTATAAGGAGGTTCATTACTAGCATTCACGAGCTTGAACCAACTGCTCTCAAGCCAAAAAACCTGTCTCTCTCCAAGCAGCTACCCATTTCCCCACCAGTCCATCATCAGCAATAGGTGCGCTCCTGAGACTCTTACTTGCTTTCTCACTTTGCACCGTCAGTAATGGGTACCGCGTAGCCAGTTCCTCTTGTCCGTATTTGTTCTCAAAAAAGGTCAACAGCTTCCGGCTCGGGTTATTCACTTCATCAATAGGGCTAGCGCGCAAAGCCTTGATCCACTCA